TAACTAATAGTTCCAATGCATGGTGCCTCATTCTATGCAAATAATGCATGCATCTAAGTTTTCATAGACAATTTAACTTGGTAATTTTACTAAAGTAACAACTTTATCATTATGTATATACATGTCTTTTTCTTTGATATACTTGTAGCTACTCACAGTTTGTTAGTCTATTTTTGTATAATTTTGAAGTTCAATTGTTATTTTTTTTCTCTTTCATTTCTTCTTGATATTTGAACGAGCGTTCTCTTTCTTCTGCTAAATTCATAAATGCTTCTATCTTCAATTCATTTTCTTCCATCATGTCAGATATTGCTTGTTCTTCATATTTTTTCTCCATTTTAGCTTTATGCTCTTGAAAAAGTTCTTCCATTTCCTTTTCTCTTCTTTTAAATTTGCTTTCTTGTTTCATCTTCTCTTTCTTTATTTGGTCAATTTCCTTTTTTAGTTGTTCCATTTCTTCATCTTTATCAGCAATTCTTTTACGATCGTGATTTTTTTTGGCTGCCAACCCTCTCTCTTTTATCTGTGAAAATTCTTTTTCTTTTGCAATTAATTTGGCTTCCAAATCATTTTGCATTGTTTTGAATTCATCTTCGAGCTGTTTTCTTTCCTCTGTTAGTTCATTATGTAATTCAGCATCAAATTGTTTTAACTTGGCTTCATTTTTTTGTCTTATTTTTGACAACCGTGCTTCAAATACTTCTTTACTCTCAGGTAGAACTATATCTATATCCATTTTTTTACTTTGGAAGTGAAATTTTCCTTCAATCATTGGCATGGCATTTTTTAAGCTGCTTTCTTTTATTTTCTTTATTTCAGCATCTTTTTCATCTCTTATCTTTTGTAGTAATGCTGCTTGCTCTTCCTCTATCTTTTTCTTAATTGCAGCCTGCTGCTCTTCATTTTGCTTTTGAAGTTCCTCCAATTGCAAACTCCTTGGACAAATTGATATGCCAGTATCTGAATCATTTTTTTCTTCTTTTTTTGTCTCCCAGTCTCTACGACGTTTCTCTTTATCTTTATTTGACTTTCTCAGTTTGTCTAATTTACACAAAAGATCTTCCAAAACATTTTCCTCTTTGCTTTCTGAATGTTGATCATTTGTATCTGGATCGATAATTTCACTATGAGTTCCTCCTTTTTTCCCCGGCTCCCACTCTTGTAAACGACGTTTCTTTTTATCTTCATTTTCCTTTTTACGTTTGTCTAATTCAAGCAAAAGCTCGGCTTCCAATAGACTTTCTTTTTTGCCCTTTGTTAGTGACTCACCAAATTTTATATCTACGTCAAGGTTTATCTTTCCTTCTTTCTCGTTAGAATCAGAGAACGGTTCGGCCATTTCGTTTTGCCTTGGATCGATAATCTGGAGTCAAATTTTGGCCGACAGATCTTTTTAACCAAAAAATTATTAATGACTGAGGATTGCCGTCTC